GGATGGGGGCGGGAGGGAGGGGGGCACTCCAGGATTCTACAGTGCCAGGGTTTATTTTCCTGGCACTGTAGAATCCCTTTAACCCTTCAAGGTACCGGTAATGTTTTATCTTGTGGGATTAAACCTATATGACCACTGTGGAGCAAATGGGGCGGCAACATTTTTGCACCGGCCCTGGATGAACCTGTGTGGATGAGAGACATATCACCTAACAGAGCATGGATCCTAGGAACTCATCTATAGCCATTTTCGTGGTATCGCTGTCCAGTCTGGACTGCGAGTTGTGGTCAAATAAGGTTAATAAAAGTTATGGAAAACAGAGGCAATTTCATCCGGGATATCGTGTTCCTGACCATCCAGTGCTGTGATTTTAGAAATGTGTTTGCTTTGTATCCTTTTGCACAGTCTTCTCATAAAAAAATTGTCTTGTCCATTGTAAAGCTTTTTTGGTTTCCTGTGACAGAAAGGTTTGTATAGCCTGTATGAAGTTGGGACGTAAGTTCTGGTGTAGGATTAAGTTTGTGCTTGGTCACTAGGGATCTAACTGATAAGTGTGATTCAAGGATTGTGAGCTGCTTTTTGTGGGCAGATGCTGCTTCTATCAGTTTGCTTCTAATAACCGCTTTATGGGCACTCCAAAGTATGCCGGCAGATGATAATGCACCCTTATTAATGGTGAAGTAATTGGTGATGTCTTCCCTAATTGTGTCTTGGATTTTTGGAATGTGAAGGTAGGTAGGGTTTAGTCACCATGACCAGTGGTCGTGTGTAGTAGTGTAATGTTGAGTAGAATGTCAACATGATCTGACCATGTGATCGAACCTATGCATGTTTTGGTGAGGGCGAAATCAGAAACGTGTCAATTCTCGAGTAAGAATCATGTGGGTGAGAAAAAAAAGGTGAAATCCAGAGTAGTGGGATGATGGAGTTTCCAAACATTATGGAGTTGTATCTGCGACGTAAAGGCTTGTAGCATTTTGTTGGACCTGGCCATGGGTGGAGGTCTTACAGCCGAATTGGTCAGTCATTTTCTGTCAATTCACTTTTGCTGGGTCCATTTAGGACTTTCTCTGTTTGGAACGTTTTCAAGGAAGACTACAAAGTCTCCTTTTTACTCCTGCTCCTTAAACACTTATAAGTCATGATGTAAACTGAAGTAAAATTCACCACCCAAAAAATGGCCACCAAGATCCCATTATGCACTACAAAAATACAGAGCATGTGCCACGAAAGCAGGAACCCCTTGCCAATAACGGTACATGATCATCTCCAGTTTGGCCACATAATGTTGTAGATTACTTCTCTGCATGGTGATCTCAACATAATAGATACAAATGGATAAGCATAAAAAAATACTATATAAGAGAGTTACACCAAAAAGATACATATTATTTCATACTTTCTGTTGTGCAAGTGATGGACATAATATTATTTTAAAGGAACACTGAAATATTATTTTAAAGAAACGTGTATTTCTGACCATATAGTGTTAAAAAAAGAACTAGAAAACGTACCTTATTTCCAGTGCCGAGCGGGTCTGCTGGCACTGGCTCTGCCCACGATCCACCTCCTTGGCTGACATATAGGAAAGCCTTGGATTGGCTGAGATTGCCAATTTTTCGTGAGTAGAACCAAACTCCACCCTAGTCAATCAGCCTCTCCTCATAGAGGTGCATTGAATCATCTCTATGGGGAAAGTTCAGCGCCTCCATGCCGAACGTGGAGATGCTGAATATCAGTGCTGCACACTGTACAGCACTGACCCAGGAAGCACCTCTAGTGGCCACTCCTGTTCCTAGGCTATAATGTAAACACTTCCTTTACAGCAAAAAGACTGCAGGGACTAACTATATTCACTAGAACAACTACATTAAGCTGTAGTTGTTCTGGTGACAACAGTGCCCCTGGTACTGGACTGTACAAATATTGCTTAAAGAAAAATTTTAAGACTCACATCCTCTCCTATAAGCAACATATAGAGAACCTATAAAAAAGGATACAATAATATATGCTATAATTCCTAAAAGAGTATCGGAAACCTGTGAAAAATATACAGATAGATAAAAAATATAAAAAAATAAATAGAAATATATAAACATAACCCCATGTATTTTAATGCACTAACCAAAGCCAAATGTACAGAAATGGGTCTCACAAATATTCACCATAATTAATAAATGGACATACAGAAGACATAAAAATATACATATATATATATATATATATATATATATATATATATATATATATATATATATATATATATATATATGTACATAAATATAGAACACATAAAAAATATATTTTTAAATTCATTAGTAGAAAAAAAAAATCCATAATACAAAGATTATTGCATGAATGATGATGGCTGTGAATTTCAAATCCAGTTATTGGAAAATAGATTCATAAAGAGAGGTTATCCTAGAGGATTTATCAATGAAACTAAACAAAATAATTAAGCTTAAAGGAGAAGAAAGAACAAAAAAGATAATAGGGAGTTTGTAACCCAAGTGGTCAAATATCTGAATAACAGCAGCAGAGAAGGTTGGATGCAGGTGAAGGAACTCAAAAAGGTACAGAAACAGAAACAGGTCCAAGTCTAGCAGAATCAGAAAGTCAGAAACATACTCAACAGATTTACCAAGCTCTGGCTGGAGTGTGCTTTGTTGTTTTTTTATTGGTTAAGTAAGGCCAAAAGGCAATTGGACACCCGGATTCCAGATGTGATGGCTTCTTTTTTTGATGCATGTATATGATCAATTTAGGAGTTGCACCACAGGCACTTAATATTAAAGGCACCTTAACAGAGGGAAGCTGAAACGTAGTGTCAACGTGAGCGCAATGCAGACAAATAACTACATGCTTGAGCTCCATGAGGATACTGCCAGTAAAACCTGACCAGGCAGTAATTAAATTATATGCTGAGCTCTTCCCTGAAAATAGGCAGATAGGCTGAAAAATCTGAAAACTTTACCTACAGACAGGTGAGATAAAATGTCCTCAGACGGACAACTCAATGACAATAAACCACAGTTTTTTTTTTGTGTTCCAGGCTGAACGTATACCATGGTCTGGTATTTGATATCACTGTCTTTTTTAGCTTTGTTTCATCTATTGCGTGTGTTTCTGAATTTGGTTTGCCTATTCACAATAAAAATAATAAAAAATATAAAAAAAAACAACTCAAGCCACGATCTTTTGGTATGTGTCAGTTTTACTCCATTTTACTCCATTTGGTGTATGTATGTGTATTACGTAGTTTGTAGATGAATTAAGTATGAATAGGTGGACCATGGCTACATTGACACAATTAAAAATAATTCATTATAGGAGTCTATTAAAAACTAGACATTGAGATTTGTTTTGTTCCAAGCTACAATTCATCCAAATTTGGGCCAATCACTTGATTGGCTGGAATTCACATTTTAGAACTGCCAAGTGCCAGAATCACGGATCAAATGACTCACAAAATGCAAACATGTTTGTTTAGATTCGTGATTCAGAGTTCCATTCCTGATGCAAGAAAAATGGGGGATGGAATGGTGAAGAGGCCGTAGGGGCAACAAAGCAGCTTTGCCATGAAGGTTTGCTATAAAGTTCAAGAGGTCTGACCAATAATGTATCTCCTGTCCAGTCAGAAGGTGGAAATTCAAAGATGATTTGATAGTAGGTGACAGCCAAGAAATGTGGATTTTATTCACAAATCAGTTGAAAACTTACCAATACAGGGAAAAACAATACAGGATTCCTCTAGACACTTGCACTACAGCCATTTAGTGAGGCAGACCAGCACTTGTACTGTGTTTACCCCTGCAATGCCTTTGTGGGGATGGGAGAAAGCCTGGGTCATTGATCCTAGTGTGAGACTAAGTTTAGCTTACTACTGCATCTACTAGATACTACTCGTGGCACAGAGGGGCTGGAGAAGAAGAAAAAGAGACACAGAGAGGCTAGGAGGAGATAGACGGACTGGGGGTGAAAGAGAAACACACAAAAGAGCTAGAGTAAAAGACACAAAGGGGCTGGGAGAGATGGAGACACACAAAGGGTCTGGGGGAAGTAAGACGCATAAAGGGGGGTTGTGAGAGATACACAAGGGAGGTGTAAGACACACAATGGGGAAAATAGGGCATAAGAGGATAAGATATGCTAAAGGTGGGTAAGACATTTTAAAAAGAAGATAAGAAACAAAAGGCAGATGAAGATGCTTTTTTTGGGGTGGGGGGGAGGCGCCAAAATCATCTTTGCCCGTGTATCCAAAAATCCTTGCACCGGCCCTGACTGTAGGCATTATACCTTCTTCATCTCACTGAACTGGCTATAGTATCTTGAGTCCCCTGGTGATGTCTTTTCATTCAGCGTAAAACCATTTTCAATGGTTCTTTTTGTTTTAATACTTAAGGAGAGTCGGCAGCAGCCCCAACCCTCTGTGCTGCTTTGGGTTATGAGAAAATATTAGCTTGAGCAGCAATAGGCAACTGTGATTGCCTGAGATTGACAGCTGACTGCTTATAGCCTATCAGATCTCCTACTGCTGGTGGGAATAAGTATAACTACAAGGAAGTTGCCAGCAAAGTGTGTATTCTCTGCCTTAGCCACACTTCCAGCTGGGCTGTGGTTTGCCAGGAACTCATATTTATTGCTAAACAGCTTGAAACTGGTTTACCACTGTAAGAAGGGGGCAGTGCCAGGGGGAATCCAGGTACCATAACCAAATCAATGAGATTAAATAGTTATAGTGATTACAGTGTCCATTTAATACCAACTTGTAATAACCAATTTACAGTATGACAGGTTTTTTTAAGTGTCCGTAGAAAGAAAATTCCTTTTTATTTTATTTCAGCGTTTTAGTCCATTATGTGCTGCACACTGTGTGCAGTGTAGTGTTTCTTACAGTCAAACGCAATAACATAACAGCAGTAAATCCACCAAGCACCACCAAAAAAAAAAAAATCTGCAAAGACATCACAAATCTGTATTACTGAGGGAAGTAGTAGAAAGGGAAATTACTAAGGCAGAGAGCAGGTCCCCTGTTACTATATATAATACTTCACAACCTACTACCACCATCAGTACCTCTTCCACTACTAGGCAAGGGGGTATGTTGAGCTTAGAGCTACCAGGCAACCGAAGGCCTTGTCAAAACAGCAGGCTAACACAATGATTGCCCAGCTGATCCCTGTAGTGGGAGCTTTGATTTCCATAATTAAATGGTAGCCTTTTAAGTAGCTGATAAAGTCCCCTGCTTCTCAATATATCATTCCCTCACAATTCACTTTCAGCAGGAAAACAGTCCAATCACTGTATCATTCCTGCTACTATTTAAGAAACAGTTGGTAAGTCTTTAGGTCTCTGGGTGCACTTCACTAAATGTTTATGGAGTATTCATAATGGACATAATGCCTTCTTCTCCTTGATGAAACACCGGTGTCTGTGCATTGTGGTGATAGTGGTGGAGGTCCAACCTTAGCAGAATGTTAAGAGAAAGAGGTAATGCACACACTGTTGGGGGATACTTCCACTAGGGTGCCTCCAAACAAGGAAGGCAAATTCCCAAGTAAAGTTAATATTCAAAATACACAATGTGTAGGTAATCTCATAAGGCAGTTACATAGTTACATAGTTACATAGCTGAAAAGAGACTTGCGTCCATCATGTTCAGCCTTCCTCGCAAATGTTGTTGCTGTTGATCCAAAAGAAGGCAAAAAACCTGGTCTGAAGCGCTTCCAATTTTGCCACAAACTAGGAAAAAATTCCTTCTTGACCCCAAAATAGCAGTCAGATGTCTCCTTGGATCAAGCAGCTATTACCCCACTAATTAGAAATGATATCCCTGTATGTTATGTTTTTGTAAGTATTTATCCAATTTCAGTTTAAACATCTGTATGGACTCTGACAAAACCATCTCTTCAGGCAGAGAATTCCATATCCTTATTGTTCTTACTGTAAAAAAACCTTTTCTTTGCCTTAGATGAAATCTTTCTTCCAGCCTAAATGTGTGACCTTGTGTCCTATGTATAGCTCTGTTTATGAATAGATTACCAGATAAAGGTTTGTATTGGTCCCGAATATATTTGTATAAAGTTATTATATCCCCTCTCAGGTGCCGTTTTTCCAAACTAAACAGATTTAATTTTTTTTAACCTTTCTTCATAACTAAAATGCTCCATTCCTTTTATCAATTTTGTAGCTCGTCTCTGGACCCTCTCCAGTGCCATGATATCCTTCTTTAGAACAGGCGCCCAAAATTGCACAGCATATTCAAGGTGTGGTCTTACCAGCGATTTATAAAGAGTCTTTATTACAAGAGCACAGAAAACAGACAAAGGTTGGCACTCTTATGTGCCTTTGTCACTTCTAAATATCAAGTGTGAGTTGTGCATATTTATATAATCACATCCAACTAGAACAAGTGAAAGAAATCATAGCATCAAGTGCATATAACTGGTGAATCCATTATAAAAACAATTAGCGCATTTAAAACACTTGTTTACCATCCTAATAAAACATAGCTATTGGATACTCAGTTAATCGCTTACTATTATTGTGCGGTTTCCAATATTCAGGACTAAAGTTTATTAACAAACAGGTGTCACAAGAGAATGATCTCTCCTGCTACATGTTGATGGATGAAAAGCACATTTTGCAGGCAATTAGATGATTGGTGTCAAATTGGTTGGGAAAGCAGACATGAACCAATCTACAGGTTGGATCCATGGTAACTGTAGCAGAGCTCCTATATCTTGGCTGGATATCTCCACTGGAATTCCCTCTGAGCTGGAAGTGCTGGTTAGTGATTATAACCCTTTGTCCCAGTAATCAGACGACACATGATTCTGGAAGTACAACTGGTTTTATTGCAAATAAAGTGGTCTTTTATACATAGACTCCGAGCATGGGATCTCCATTCAATACATAGGAGTGATTCTTTGGCATAGTCTCTTGTACCTTCCCTCCAGTTAGTGCTCTCTTAACCCTCTGGGAAGTGAGTGAAAACCGGGGTTGAAGTTGGCTGGGCAATACTGGTGACCGCGGCTGAGGTGGCATTCCAGGGGAATGTGGCCAGGTCTCTCTAAGGTCATTGCAGTTCTCTCAAACTCTCCCAAATCATTAGCAGGCAATGTAGGGAGGCACTCTTTGGTGTGGATCATGGAGAGGTAGTCAGTAAAAGCCAGAGGTAGTGATTTGGTCTTTTGGGGAAGATTTGAGTAGGAAAACCATATTGTGCCACAGTAACCAATAGCACTGCTAACATGGTTTGTTCCAATAGCTCTGCAAGAGGGTTTGTTCGTAGGTGTAAGCTTCTCTGCACTCATCCTACATCTTGTAGTGAAGAGCACAATTCAGGAGAATATGAGAACTCCCAGAACAAGCAAAAGCTCAGAAATATCAATAGCTTGCCCTTCAGCTAATCCCCATTAAGGTCACACATTTTTTTATTCACTTGTGCCATTACAAAGAGTAAATTACAGGTTTAAAACACTCTATTTTTTATTTTTTTTTACCACCGCACTCACCGTTAATGCCAAATGATCAGGTGGCTCAGTCTACAAGAAGCACCTGCAGGTTTACGTGTTACTGCATGGTGATTTTCATTTGGTATTTATATACATTTATGCTCACTGTCCTTCTTTTTTGTGGGATACCTTACATTTTTCTATTTCATATTACCCTTCAGACCATTGACTCTTCCATTATTATGTACACTGGTATGGTATCTGTGACGAAATGCCTTTTGTCCCTGGATTGTTAGGTGACAAGCTGCCCTTTGCCCCCGGCTTTTGGAGGAGCCTGATTGCCAGCCTCCTTCCTCATGACTATGGCCCTGGGGTGTATTGCCATTTAAAAAGACTATTTGGGGCTTATTGGCTTCTAAAGACAGTTTCTTCCCATTTGAATCCATGGGAAGGTGTGTTTCTTCCCCTCCCCCGTTTCCTGTCTATTGTTCTCCAGCAGGGCGTTGTCCCAGGCACACTGCCAAACCAGTTGGAACTGACTGCTTTTGTCCCTCCTTGGTTTTTCAACAGCCCTTGCTATGCTTTACCCCATGGAAAATCTACTCTGTTCATGGGATCTGAGCGCTGTTCACCTAGATTGGGCGCTCAGATCCGAGCTATCTGGGGATAGGTTAAATGTGGGGGTTCTGTGTAATAAAATAAGAATTATGTATTTTTATGTACTTTTACGTATTTTGCTGTTAGTGTTAAATGTAGATATTTTCTGTACCTGGAGATAATTGAGTTTACTGCAGTGCCTTAAGCCAATTATCTCCAGGATGGAGAGGAGGGATTTCATTGTGTATGTGAGAGTGTTATCATGTTAATTAGTGTTCCCATTGGTTTGTGTCCCTTTTGTCACAGTTTACCACCAGGTCCAGGGGGTGTGCCTCTGACCTGAAAACTTGTATATAAGGAGTAATAAACGCTCATTGGAGTCAGATCATCTTGTACCTTCATGAAGTTTCGGCTCATGTTTGGGGGATTGGAGAAACTACACTCTGGGGATTGCTATAATCACTATACTCCCCAGGGTATAATCACTAAGCTCTGCTAAGAGCTTGTTCCTGTTCCTGCTCTCTGGAATTCGGAGAGGGGTTGACCTGCTGGAAGCTGGGCCCTGGTCCTGGGTCCAGAGTGGGTGGAGACGGCGAGACACCAACCAAGCTGCGGCGGTTCGTGGGGTCTGCAGTGGTTATGGTGTCAGGCAGAGTGCTTGGAGTCCTTGGAAAGCGCTAGGAGCATCCGTCGGCGGAAGGTACCCGGTCGGGGTGTCAGCGGTTCCGTTACAGTATCTGTTGCTCAACGTGTCTGGCATTTTATTGAATGTCATAGTGTTCTTATAAGTATTGAGTATACATTTTAAAAATATATAAATATTTATAAATAAAAGGTAAGATGAATAACTTCCAAAATTCCAAAATCCAAGTTTTCTCTTGATTTATATTGTAAGTTTCCAGCCTTTTCCTTTTTTGGAGAAAAATAAATACATAATTAATTTGTATTTATACGTCATTTTTAAGTATATAGTTCAAAGTGGTTTTAATGCATGTTAATTCATGTATACATTCAAACCAGCGTAAATTTGCTTAGAAATCAAATCATATATAGTATTTTATACAAGCTACCTTTACACTGCTAAACTGACATGGCCCACTTAAGATTTATTCTACATCCCTGAGTTGCAGCTTCTTTTTTGTTTTCTATATGTTAGCAAAAATGTAAGATATAAAATACATAATTTTCAACTTTACTCTACAATATAACATTTGTCCACATTATACTGAATTTATCAGATTAATTAATGATAAAAATGAAGATTGAAAAGAAAAAAAGATTGAAACTAAAACTCTTTTTTTTTCTTTTTGCTTTGTTTTTTTTTTACTTCTTCCTAGGGAATTAAACATGTTTTGCTAGTTGTTCAAGCCAGCTAATTACAATTATGTAACATTACAAATTGGGATTATATCTTCTGGGGAAAGATTAGGTTGTTCTCTCAGTACACATTTAATGCATAATCCAGATGTGTTTTACTTAGCAGATGACCAGCTTGCCTGTACTATAATTTTATTCAGAAGTTGATTCTGATGCAGGAATTTTTAAATAAATATATAATATATATATTTTTTTTTAATGTAATTTTTACAAAATTTTTATTATATTCTATTACTGTTTATTACCAGCATCCAGAGATAGGGCAGCATATTCCCTTGTGGTTTGGTGGTGCTGCAGAGGCTCTCTGCCTTTACCTCTGCTGGGTGAAGGCTCTTCCCATGAGTCCCAGCACCACGTGGTATCGAGCGTTGCCGTGTCTACCGGCAACGCTCGATTCCACTCGGCCGGCCACAGAGATGAAGACAGAGAGCCTGTCCCTTCCTGCTGCACAAACTCTGCAAAGACCAGGCCTGTGTGCATATTAGGTGCCTGGGCACACGGGGCTCTCATGAGACCTGGGGCCCTTACTAGTGAAAGGGTTGTACCCCCCCGACTGGCTCATAGTTGCAGGAGTCACCGTGGTAGGTACGCCACTGTGCATGATTGTCTGCCTGTAACTGTCTGCTTATGACTGTGGGTGGCTGCTTGTGACTGTGTGTGTGACTGTTATAAGGCCTACATGTATTTTTTTTTAATTTGAATTATATATCTATTACAAATATTACACAGTCAATACACCCATAACAAATATCATAAATATATATATATATATTTATATATATATATATAATTGGTCTCAGCATCCTATCTCTCGAATGCCCACGTGCAAACCAGGTCTTTCATTCGCGCGTGCGCATTTTGCCACATTTTGCCTTGAACAAGCTTTGTTTCTTTTATGCTAACACGTGGTTTCATTTGCACATGCACGTCCGTTTGTCGTGTCTTGTTCACGTGAATGCGCCCGGACAAAGCATATTGTTCGCGCGTGCGCATTCATTCATTCTTCCGTGAACTGTTCATGAGTTTTTTTTGGTTTTTTTTCATGTTTGGTCTTTATTGAGTTTTTGCATGAGATAAAGAGGACAGTAGGTATACAGAACTGAAAACATCCAGGGAATCTTGTTCCTCCTCAAAAAATCGAAGGTCACACTCCAAGACTTATAGGTAAGCCAGTATTACATGTCGCAATTATTGTTTCCTAAATAAAAGAGTGCATACTAATGCTCCCCTATCATGGCAGCTCTACGGGAAAATGAGCATCAGGTTCATCCAAATAGAAGTTGCCCAGAAGGACGCAATGTGAGGCCTGCGATCAGAGAGCAATGGGAGGGAAACGACTCTGCGCAGATTGCATATCGCAAGTAGCAGGCCCATCTCAACCGTATCTGGATATTATGCAGGTCATCAAGCAGGCTGTCTCACAAGGGATTAAGGAAGCTGGACATTCCCGCAAAAGGCCTAGATATCCGGATTTATCCCTTTACAGGGAGTGCAGAATTATTAGGCAAGTTGTATTTTTGAGGATTAATTTTATTATTGAACAACAACCATGTTCTCAATGAACCCAAAAAACTCATTAATATCAAAGCTGAATATTTTTGGAAGTAGTTTTTAGTTTGTTTTAGTTATAGCTATGTTAGGGGGATATCTGTGTGTGCAGGTGACTATTACTGTGCATAATTATTAGGCAACTTAACAAAAAACAAATATATACCCATTTCAATTATTTATTATTACCAGTGAAACCAATATAACATCTCAACATTCACAAATATACATTTCTGACATTCAAAAACAAAACAAAAACAAATCAGTGACCAATATAGCCACCTTTCTTTGCAAGGACACTCAAAAGCCTGCCATCCATGGATTCTGTCAGTGTTTTGATCTGTTCACCATCAACATTGCGTGCAGCAGCAACCACAGCCTCCCAGACACTGTTCAGAGAGGTGTACTGTTTTCCCTCCTTGTAAATCTCACATTTGATGATGGACCACAGGTTCTCAATGGGGTTCAGATCAGGTGAACAAGGAGGCCATGTCATTAGATTTTCTTCTTTTATACCCTTTCTTGCCAACCACGCTGTGGAGTACTTGGACGCGTGTGATGGAGCATTGTCCTGCATGAAATCATGTTTTTCTTGAAGGATGCAGACTTCTTCCTGTACCACTGCTTGAAGAAGGTGTCTTCCAGGAACTGGCAGTAGGACTGGGAGTTGAGCTTGACTCCATCCTCAACCCGAAAAGGCCCCACAAGCTCATCTTTAATGATACCAGCCCAAACCAGTACTCCACCTCCACCTTGCTGGCATCTGAGTCGGACTGGAGCTCTCTGCCCTTTACCAATCCAGCCACGGGCCCATCCATCTGGCCCATCAAGACTCACTCTCATTTCATCAGTCCATAGAACCTTAGAAAAATCAGTCTTGAGATATTTCTTGGCCCAGTCTTGACATTTCAGCTTGTGTGTCTTGTTCAGTGGTGGTCGTCTTTCAGCCTTTCTTACCTTAGCCATGTCTCTGAGTATTGCACACCTTGTGCTTTTGGGCACTCCAGTGATGTTGCAGCTCTGAAATATGGCCAAACTGGTGGCAAGTGGCATCGTGGCAGCTGCACGCTTGACTTTTCTCAGTTCATGGGCGGTTATTTTGCGCCTTGGTTTTTCCACACGCTTCTTGCGACCCTGTTGACTATTTTGAATGAAACGCTTGATTGTTCGATGATCACGCTTCAGAAGCTTTGCAGTTTTAAGAGTGCTGCATCCCTCTGCAAGATATCTCACTATTTTTGACTTTTCTGAGCCTGTCAAGTCCTTCTTTTGACCCATTTTGCCAAAGGAAAGGAAGTTGCCTAATAATTATACACACCTGATATAGGGTGTTGATGTCATTAGACCACACCCCTTCTCATTACAGAGATGCACATCACCTAATATACTTAATTGGTAGTAGGCTTTCGAGCCTATACAGCTTGGAGTAAGACAACATGCATAAAGAGGATGATGTGGTCAAAATACTCATTTGCCTAATAATTCTGCACTCCCTGTATTCTGGAGAGTACTTAGCTGAGGAGTCTATGTATATTAATTCTTATAGAGGAGGAAGCACAACCTGCCCCGGAGTTTATTGAACCAGCTGAAGTGGATCATCTAATTTCCAGGGTCTGCAAGGTTTTGAGCTTAAAAGAAACTAATAAGGAGGAACCATCCACTTCCAGCTATTTTTTCTCAGATCTCAGAAGGAAGAGGTCTTCATTTCCAATTCATGACACCATTAAAGACTTAACCACAGATAAATTCAGAAAATAAAATTTTCTGTGAGGGGAAGGTTTTCTCATCTCTATCCTATAGGCTGTAAGGACCAGGGCCGGATTAACATAGGGGCTGATGGAGCTGCAGCTCCAGGCCCATGCCCATGGAATAGGCCCATTTAAAAAAAAAAAATTTTTTTTTTTTTTTTTTTACACACTACTCTTAGGTTTGCCACCTGACTGGTATTTTAATGGCACAGACGGTATTTGAGACTGCCTGGCCGTGCCGGTATTGCAGTAATACCAGCAATACAAATGCAGGTAATTTTCTCAGAATGAATGGAAATTACTCTGCAATACCAGCACCGGCCAATAGGGGTCACTGTGTGTGGAGAGAGGCAGGTATAGGAAGTTACAGAATATCCCTGCCTCTCTCTACTACTTACTGATCACTGGGGGAGCAGCTACACAGCGCAGACAGTCCAGACAGCAGCTCTACAGCTCTGGTAAGTGAGGGATGGGGGAAAGGCAGCAGGGACACATGGGGACACAGACAGTAGGGGACACATGGGGACACAGACACTAGGGGACACATGGGGATACTGAGACACTAGGGAACACATGATGACACATACACTAGGGGACACTGAGACACTAGGACACAGACACTGGGAGACCTGGGAACACAGACACTTGGGGACACTGGAAAACATGGGGACACTGAGACACTAGGGGACACTGAGACACTTGGGGACATATGGGGACACTGAGACACTAGGGGACACTGAGACACTAGGACACATGGGGACACAGACACTGGGAGACCTGGGGACACTGAGACACTTGGGGACACTGGAAAACATGGGGACACTGGGACACATGAGGATGCTGAGACACATGGGGACATTGGGAGACACAGACATAGGGACACGGAGACACTATGTTCCCATGTCCCCCAGCCAGTGTCCCTAGTGTCTCAGTGTCCCCAAGTCTCCCAGTGTCTGTGTCCCATGTCTCTCAGTGTGCCTAGTGTCCCCATGTCTATGTCCACAACTGTCCCCATGTCTCCCCAAGTGTCTGTCTTCCAGCCAGTGTCCCCTAGTCTCCCAGTGTCCCCTAGTCCACCAGTGTCTGTGTCCCTAGTGTCTTAGTGTCCCCAAATGTTTCAGTGTCTCCATGTCTCCCAGTGTCTGTGTTCCTAGTGTCTCAGTGTGTCTGGTGTCCCCATGTCTCCCAGTGTCCCTATATGTCCCAGTGTCCACATGTCTATGTCCACAACTGTCCCCATGTCTCCCAGTGTCCTCATGTCTATGTCCACAACTGTCCCCATGTCTCCCAGTGTCCTCATGTCTATGTCCACAACTGTCCCCATGTCTCCCAGTGTCCCCAAGTGTCTGTCTCCCAGCCAGTGTCCCCTAGTCTCCCAGTGTCTGTGTTCCCATGTCTCTGTGTCCTTAGTGTCCCCAAATGTTTCAGTTTCCCCATGTCTCCCAATGTCTGTGTCCCTAGTGTCCCAGTGTCCCCATTTCTCCCAGTGTCCCCATGTCTCTGTGTCCCCATGTCTCTCAGTGTCCCCAGTATCTTAGTGACATGGGGACACACTGAGACATTGGGACACTGGGAGAAATGGGGACACAGACACTGGGAGACTAGGGTACTGGGCGACATGGGGACACTGACACTATGATACATAGGGACACTGATACACTGGGTGACTTGCGAGACTGGGAGACAGGGAGACACTGGGAGCAATCCATCTATACAGCAGAATCAAACAGTGAGTAGTTTGTTGGTGATTTGACAGAATTTTCTCTGATGTCACTCCTTGTGATTTACAAATTACAATACTTCCCCAAAGGATTGGCTGAGACTGTCAACTAGGCAGATCAGGGGCAGAGCCAGCACAAGTCCAACATAGCCCTGGCCAATCAGCATCTCCTCATAAAGATAAATTGAATCAATGCATCTCTATGAGGAAAGTTCAGTGTCTGCATGCAGAGGGTGGAGACACTGAATGTCAGTGCTGCACACTAGGCAGTACTGCCCCAAGAAGCACCTCTAACAGCCATCTAAGGAGCGGCCAGTGGAGTTATTTTCTCTGAAAAGACAGTGTTTACTGCAAAAAGCCTGAATGGAATGATTCTACTTGCCAGAACAAATACAATAAGCTGTAATTGTTCTGGTGACTATAGTGTCCCTTTAAGTTTGGAAGCTTAAGAGGGATGTATGGGAACAAAACTTGTGTGCACAGGCTGACATTAAAATTAGTTTAGGTAATGCAGATGTTGGTCTCTCTAACACTGTGGCATGTCCCCTTTCTTCTACACTCACTACAGACACCTTTTATCTGTCTCAGACTATATACCAGGAACATCTGCCTGCTAGTAAGAAGGTAAGGAGATAAATGGACCAGCAAGTGCTAGGGGACAGTCCTTAGAAAGAATGGAGTGAGCGCATCATTAGATGCATTTATGTCAAGCTCAAGGTGCTGCCTGCATAGTATGCCCTTATTTGGACAGCCTGCAGGATTGGCAGGCAGCCTGACATTCATTCATGCCAGGCTGACCTTCCAATTCTTTAGACAAACATGCCCCCTTTTTGGGCATGTTCACCCCTTTTGGCAGGTCTGGTCACGTGATTCGCGTCAGTGGCCCACCCTTTTACCCCGCCCATTGACTTCCTGCTTCACTGGACACTGCTGTTAGGGGGTATGGATTTACTTGAAAGATTAAAGCATAAATTAGAGAAAGATTAGCACAGAGTATGTGTTTTCTTATAGCTGCATCCTATGAGTTTCCCTCCAGCACCATCTCCATCAGATACATGACGCTTGGGAGGTATGATTGTTTTAGTGTTTTTGGTTGATAAGATTCCGTAATTAGGCCCATCATAATTGTCAGCACCAGGCCCACTGTGCTCTTAATCCGGCCCTGGTAAGGACTCTGAGACATGGGACTCTGCTCCCAAGGTAGATGTTGCAGTTGTAAGGTTGGCTAAATGCACTACTCTTCCTGTAGACACTGCTGGTTCCTATAAAGACCCTATGAACAGGAAGATGAAAGTTAATCTGTCAAGAGCATATGTCACAGCAGGTACTGGACTTCATACCACAGTAGCTCTAACATCGGTAACATGAGCATTAAAGCTGTGGATTGATAACCTAGAGAAAGACATCAGAGATGGCAGAAGCAGATCCTCCATGTTAAACAACCCTAAAGACATAAAGTTGGCATTGGACTTTTAATCTGAAGCAGCTATGGATATAGTGATAACCTTATCCAGAAGCATGGTTCTATCAGGATCAGATCCTGGTCTGCAGATTCCTCCTCTAAGAATAGCTTGTGTGCTCTGCCCTTCCATGGAAGTATGTTGTTTGGAGAGAACCAAGACGAATGTAAAAAGAGAGCAGCAGTGGGCAGGAAGGCATCCTTACCACAAGATAGAAGATCCAAAACCCCACTTTGCAAAAAAGATCTTCACTTTTCCTTTCACGATAACAGATCTTACAGACCTGGAAAAGAGTATGAAAGGTCCCAAGCTTGGAGGAGTGGCCACTCTGGATACAGAGTTGGAAGATCTAGAGGTACTATCTCTTTCAGGAACCCATCAAGCTTATGATAGGGTTATTTCCCAGTCAGGAGGAGTAGGGGCATGCCTATTCCTATTCCAAAAGGCATGGGAGGAAACCACCTCAGACCAATGGTGATGGACATTATTTGAAGGGGGAACCTTCTAGAATTTGCCAAGAAGCCACCAAGTTGGAATAAACTTGGAATTAATAATAACATTAATAACTAAAAATAATAACTTAAAATAATAACTTAAAAACCGAGTGTAAAGTCAGAGTCCACACTCCTTGCTTTCGACAATTCAATAATATTTATTAATAGAGGCTAATCAAACAAATAAACAATACATATACATTTGAAATAGGCTAGTATATGTTGCTACTAAAACTAATCATTGACTGAATGGGAAGTAGGCTAAATTAACATAGTAAACAGGCATAGACACATGATACAGTTACCACTCCATTGATCGTCAGCTGAGAGTAAGAGAGAGAGGGTGTGTAAAGTAGGGAGAGGGGAGAGAGAAGGTGAAGAGAGGTAATTCAAAGAGAGAGAAAATGTGCTATTCACAGGGCTCGCCTCACTC